CAAATATTGTGGTTTGCCACAAGAGGGCAATACGAAATGGAAATAGAAATCTATGCCTAAACAACAACAAAAATCCCAAGCCCAAAATCTATTCTAAATTACATAAATTCATCTCTCTCTTTCTCTTCCTAGCTCTATGTCTATATCTAGCTCTAGGTCAATCTCCTTTTCTTTGGATAAATGTAGTTAGTTGATGAGGATTTCATGCTTAGAATTCTGTTTTCTTCCTTCATCCTGTTCTTCAGCTGCACCCTACAACCCTGAGTGCTAGTGATGCACATCCCTCCCCTAGACAACTCCTCTTAGTTACACTAGCTTTACCTCAAACTTAGCATGGGAAACTAAGCCTATTGCATTTTTTTCTAAAAAGATAACACTTCAGAGTCATATAGGCTCAAACTATAGAGAGTTATGTTGGATTCCTACCTCATCCATGAAACCACACACTATGTTTCCTTCCTTTATTCAATCTGCTTACTGCCCATCTCTTCCCCATTCTCATGTCTATCTACCTAGTCCAACTCCCTCTTCTCATCTTTCAACCATTTATCTACTTGGTTCTCTAACCATTGCTCTTTTATTCCATTTATTGGATGACTAGAGGCCTGGTGCACAAAATTTGTGTACTCGGGGGGAGGGGTCCCTCAGGCCAGCCTGCGCCCACTCCCAGTCCAGGAGCCTTGGGGGATATCCAACTGACAGCCGGCAGTTGGACATCCTTAGTGCTGCCTCGAAGGCAGGCTCCCGCCACCGCGGCTGAACTTGCCAGCCATGAGCCCGGCTTGTGGCTGAGCAGAGCTCCCCTGTGGGAGCACAATGACCACCAGGGGGCAGCTCCTGCATTGAGTGTCTGCCCCCTGGTGGTCAGTGCAGGTCATAATGACTGGTCATTCCGCCGTTCGGTCAATTTGCGTATTAGCCTTTTATTATATAGGATAAGCATTCAGTACACTCACACAATGTGGTCTTCTGTACTATGATCTTCCCAGGAAAGACTCCCATTTCATACCCCTGGACAAAGAGAAGCTTCTTTTTCAGCCCAGGCTATATTTATCGTTTGTCTGTGTTTCATGACAACAGTGGAAAGGAAGATGGGAAGCGCTGTATGCATTTGAGGGGAGTTCTTTATTTTATTTTTAGCTGCAAAAAATAATGTCAGCAAGTCACATAGGCTGCTGTCACTAGTGATATGACATGTATACTTGCCCATCAGAGAATGCAATCTCATACATCAACCAATCTGACACGAATTGTGTGGGACCAAATAAAATAAAAATAACGCTTTTAGTAAAGCAGAATAAACAATAACTGCTATGAATGGGCTTGATTCAAACTTTCTTTTTCTGTTAGCATAAGGGTACTTTAGAAAATCTCTTGATTCAAAAATTTATGTAGGCACAAATGGTTTTAAAAACAATCTGATTCTTATGTTTTCTTTGCTTCTCTCTTTTTTAAATATGTTTATATTGATTTCAGAGAGAGGAAGGGAGAGGGAGAGAGATAGAAACATCAATGATAAGAGAAAATTATTGTTCGGTTGCCTCCTGCACACCCCATACTGGTGATCAACCCGGGCATGTGCCCTGACTGGGAATCAAACTGCAACCTCCAGGGTCAATGCTCAACCACTAGGCAACACTGGCCAGTTTCTTTGCTTCTCTTATTAATAATTAAGTTATCTAATAATAATTATTAGTTATTAATTACTTATTAATCATTAATAAATAAGTCAGGCACAAAGGACAAATATTGTATGATTCTATTTATATGAGGTACCTAGAATAGTCAAATTCATAGAGACAGAAGGTAGAATAGTGGTTACCAGGGATTGGGGGGAAAAAGGTATTGAAAGTTGTTATTTAATGGGCACAGAGTTTCAGTTAGAGAAGATAAACATAACCTGGAAATGAATGGTGGTGATGGTTGCACAACAGATGGTTGCAGTCTCAGAATCTGAATCTGGGAAGCCTAAGTCTACAAAACTAAAAAATAATAACAACCCAAGAACTTATATGCATATATGCATAACCCATGGACAGACAATAGTGCGGTACAGGCCTGGGAAGGGGGCAGGAGCAGGGTGTAGGGTGTTAATGGGGGGGGGGAGGGCAAAGGGAGCATCTGTAATACTTTCAACAACAAAGATGAATTAAAAAATAATAATAGCAACCCATGAGGAACACTTACTGAGCATCTATTGAGCAACAGGCTTAAGAGCTAGATGTGATCTAGGTCAAGGAAAATGTCTGAGGCAGATTTACAAATATCATATATTAGTTTACTTTCCCCAACTCACTATTTTGCTCTTTACAAGAAACAAACAAAGCCCCACGCATCCCATTTCAGAATTAAGAAAACAAACAGAGACATTTCTCTGTGCCAGTAACCATGCCAAAGAGTGTGTCAGCCAATAGTATTTGTGAAACTCACCGGGCAGCTGGCAGGGCCACACATTATAAAGTGGAAATTTTTGGAGAGGCTACATTTCAACCCATTAAAAAAGTTTGCTGGTGCAGACAGTCTTTTATTTAGAAAGCCTATTTTCAGAAAGAATCTGGTTCAGTCATTATGGTGGGAGAAATAACACGTGAAAACAACAGTTCAAAACCGACCATAAATCTCCCTCAAAGCAAAACTATTTCTGGTGTCTCTCAAGTAGCTGAGTTAATGTGGCATAAGACAAAGCCTGACAAGCAGGTATAATTAAAGGATGAATCACAGGGATAAGTCATGGGTAACTCTGAAAGTGCCTACAGGGAAAACAGTCCATTCTAACACACTAAACTTTAGAGGCTAAAGGATGAAGGGTAGGAAGAAAAATCCCTTTTTCCACATGAATGCAATGATAGGCTCCAGTGGAAACATATTGATAATGGCATCAGCACATTATTGATACATTATTGGTACAGAGAATATCCTGCCTCGTGTGATATGGGTATTCTTTCTCTATGTTTTCTCTTCTGAGAACGGCTAGGGGTCAGGTACCATGCTTTGCTTTATTTATCTTTCCATATAAATCACTTCTCTGCCCAGAGCCTAAAAATGTAGACAGTAGGTATAAAACATGCAATTGCACACATGAATGGATAAAGGATTACCCATTTCTTAGAATCTAGAATAAATCTTTTCTACACCTTTAGAAAAGAAAAATGAAAACTGATATCCAACATAGTAAATGGTGCTTACCAAAGACTGTTGATGTGCTTTTTCAAAGAATTAATCACAGGACTTTTATTTAATGAAAAACAGGAAGGGATTATTATATTTTATCCTGTTTCATATCGCAGCCACTGGCATTGGATTTAGTTTCTTGGAACTGGCAACATGGCAAAAGTTGAAAGGAAACTATTTATTTGGCCTGAGTGGTATTCTGTCTTTTGGCTATGTGACGACTAGATGTAAAAAATCAGGTGGAAAACAGCCCCACTGCTTCTGTAGCTCCATTAACTGACAAATAACAGCATGATCACTCCCCCCACCCCACCGCATACCAGATAAGGGGGGTTTAACTCACAGACACAAGTTAGACATTTAGAATTAAAGTGATTGGCCATTCTTCCAATTATTTGAGGTCTAGCCATCCAGGAAGGTCTTTAAATCTAATTTTCCTGGCTCAGAAAAGTTTACATCAAATATACTGTTTACATCATCGTATCTCTTAGTTGAAGGTTTATCTGCTACTTTTAATGTTTATGTGTACTTAAAAAAACTATTTGGAACTAAAAGTCTTGACAGTCTCTGAAACTTAATTGGGAAAAATGTCAAGCACTTTAATGGAATTTTTCCCATGATCTGTAGAAGAGTGTTTTTTTTTCTTTTTTTTTCTTTAACAGATGGTTCAAATGGACAAAGCAGTGAAGACAGAAATTAAAAGCAGATTCTTAAGAAAAATAACTGGTTCTCAGAAATCCTAGAGATGATGGCGGACTAGATGTAACACAGCAGTTTCTCTTGCTGTCAAGCTCTGGAAGAGAACAGATATTTATTAGGTGAGCCCCTACCAGAGGGGGGGCCACTGCCTCTTGGTGGGAATCAGCTATTCATCCAGAACTCCGGCCAACTTCAACAATCCCCGAATCTTCACGCTCCAGGGCGGTTTCATCCAGGTGTCCATACAAGATATAGTGTTACATGGCAAATAGGTTTCCTCCTAGAGTAGGGCCATTGGAGTCCCAGGTGGCTCTTTGGGGTACGGGGGAGACCTAAAACCTTCCCACCTTCACAACAACTTGGAAAAACATGATGAAGCTTTCGTTTTGGATAGAAAAGCCCCGACTTTCTTGGATCAATGAAGTGGGCTATGGGGAAGAGACAGGAAAACTTCTCCACCTCGAGTTTATACGTATTCATCTAAAGTTTAGATTCTCAACTCATGCTTTAAAGTAGCATCTTCCAACGAGGCTTCCAAATGTTCTCTCAAACTTCAGGGCAAGGGAATGCTGGTTTGTATCCCCGAGTCCAGGGAGTGGAGGATCCCTTAGTGTCACCACCTACAGACCACAAGGAGCCAGGAGCGCAGCAGGGGACAGGGACACCGCCCAGGGCACCGGCTGGAGC